AAGCAACTCGATCACTCTAAAAACTGTGATTTTAAAACAAGAAGCAGTTCATGGTTCACTGTATGAGGCACTGAGCTTAGTCTGAAGAGTTCATTTAAAAAGCAAGAGCTTGATTTTCTTTTTTAAATCTTCCTTTATTCGCTGAAACTTCTATGGCACTTTACTGGGAGCACAGAGTGAAAAGAGCCAGATGTGCCCTCTAGTGGATTCATTTTGAACAATATGACATCAACCAGGACGCCGATATGACGATTTATAAACTTTTCATAGTTCAAAGCCTCGGTCGCAGATGTCAGATTGGAAACTGTTCAGTTTTACACAAAACAGATGATGTCAGAAGTGGGATTCGAACCCACGCCTCCAGGGGAGACTGCGACCTGAACGCAGCGCCTTAGACCGCTCGGCCATCCTGACTTGTGCTGTCGATCCTTCAAAAACTGTTTTGTTGGATCATATTTAGGTAATACTTCATATAAAGCGTTTGCTGAATATATTTAATATGAATTACAAATATTTGAATAACACAAATAATTCTCCATTCTCCACTTTTCCTATTGAGTACTTCTGACTCACCACTAGATGGCGACATTATTTGATTCTCTTGGACCCAACACATTGATTTGATGCAGTTTATGGTTTAATCACAAACTGTAAAAATCAACAGTGAGTAATGGGCATCCAGATGGTGAGTCATGATTTGTTGCTACTGACAGAACAGAATCATTGTGAAGCATGCATACTGCAACCTTTCACAGATTAATGTCACTGGCTTAATCACTGCAATGACCAGAAGTAAACACAAGTCCAGGATTTACTGGGAGACTTTTGGCACCACCTCAGCACTGCTGCCTGGCAGCGAAACAAATGGGTTTGCTGCATCAGCCTTTAGGAAAAGATCCATGGGGATGTCCTGGAGCAATATTACACTGGCTCTGAAACTTTAAACCCTAAAATTCCTTTTTAAGGAGTCATACTGAGAAACACAGAGTTAGTAACAGTGCAAGATTCTGGTATGTATGCAGTTTCTTCACAAGTACATGTTGCCATTTGCCATTTTTAATCTATATTTTCACATTTTGTGCCTTTGTAAAGTGATGCATTTTTTAAAAGGCACATCTCTGCTCTCTCTCTACATTAGTCAGTGTGTGCGTGCCAGCGCGCTCGCCCAGCCCCTTCCTGATCCTCCCTCAGTACTTTTTATCTGGATAATAAGTCACTTATTATATGTTTGTCAAGCAAATAGATTTTTTCAAATTCAAAGCCCCTGAAGACAACACCATGAAGAGATGTTCACTGAACTGTGGCAGTGTCTAGCAGGGAAACACTGCCCTGTGTTCTCTGTCGAGTGGATGACACACAAACCTCCCGGATATTTGTTTGATGTTATAGCACAAGCATGAAAAAGTTCTCTATGGTTAATGTCTCCCTCTATCTCTAACATGTTGTACACTTCTGTGTGACAGTAGAAAACTTGTTAATACATTATTTTTGACCCTGTGTTGAACCCCAAATAAACTAATAAATGACAAATAATTAGCTCATCTTTTCTATTGAATCTTCTCATTAATTATTACACAGCATATATATATATATATATATATATATATAAATTATTTGCCCGTGTATTCCTCCTCCTCCTCAGCATTTATAGTAGCTTATGAAGCTGTGCCAAGCCAACTGGCATTGCAGTGATTAAAATTTATGTACTGGAAGTGTACAGAATAAAATTATCTCTCTACTTTACTAATTATTTAATGTCAGCTTAAATTTTACAGCAAAGCTTGATAATAATTCGGAACATTTGCTCACAGGTTGATATTGTCTTCAGTCATCAGAGTTCTCTCTGTCTGTTGTTTTTGTTCACTGTTGTCGTTCCCCTCCTCCGTTGCCCTCTTTGTTTCCTTCCCTGTCACCATGAGGACTGAGCTGATTGATTAGATGCCACCAAAGTCCAAATCAGCAGAAACGAAATATGACAGCAGATGTTAACCAGGCTGAGGGGAAGGAATAGGGAACACAATAAACCTTAACTACTTTAACTCATTCACATTTACTGTGCTGTTTGCGGCAAACTCATTATAGAAGCTGACAAATGATGATGGAGGTAAAGTTCTGGAAAATAAGAAAAAGAAAGGGGGGGGGGATACTAAGGCATATTTTCTTCACAGTAAAAATAGAAGCTTTGACAAAAACAGGAAATTTAGTTTGATTTTTGTTTTTTTGTAATTTTATTGTGTGTAAGAAAAATATTTAGCAAATGCATTTTCATAATGCCCGGGTTTGCATGAGTGTTATGAACAGATGAGAATAAGGAGATGTAAATATGAGGTTTGTGTCTGTGTCCTTTAAACAGATGGTGTCCAGACTGAGACAGATGAGAAGCTAAACCCAGAAGAACCAATAAGAAAAGGAGGAGATGATACAAGACCAGTTAGACTTTATGGTCACAGCTGCTTGAATTGAATAATGTGGTGTTGACTCAGGTTCTATATGTACATGTGTGTGTAGATAGATAGATAGATAGATAGATAGATAGATAGATAGATAGATAGTCATTAGATCTGAGCAACTGTTTGAGCATCTCCAGAATCTGCTGACATTAAGCCAAACTGTGCAGTCAAAGAAGACAAATGAAGGTCAACGAGTAAAAAAGAATAGAAAAAATAGCACAGAAACAGAGCATTTGCATATATAGTATATATCTGCAAAAGGCAGCCTGATGTAACCCTGCAAGACATCTGTGAGAAAAGCATATTTTGGGCTGCAATATCAAGAAGCAAGTCATTACAAGGCTATGTATGGTTTTATCTTAGATTGATTAAATCGTATTTACACTGATAATTACAGTAGCTGTTCATAAAATGGTCTTTTATTCTGGCTGCTGCATGCCTTCTTTACTGTGAATGTTCTTACTATTCATTATCAATACAAATTATCCATGTACTGGTTTTTCATGATGATGGCAAAAGAGATTGCGTGATTTTGCCAGCGGGCCAGACTGGCCAGCATTTATATTTTATAGGATATCACAGCATAAATAAAAACTTGCTGAAAGATTACAGCTACAGCCAGATACAGGCAGAGCTGATCATCACTGCTCCAGCAGTGATGGTAAATTAATTCATTCAGATGTTTAAAGTGCTCACAGTCCTGCAAAAAAAAGAAAAAGAAAAAGTCAATGATACATATAGGCATTAGATCTAAGCGGTGTAAAGAAATGCAAAGGATGCCATCATGTCTGTCAAGTCCTCTTTGAAAAGGCCACATGTTTGCCAACACTGCAACTTTGGGAAGCCATTGTCATAACGTGCGCCTCTTTCTTTCCTGTGATGAGCATCATATCCACGCCGTTTTCAAATCGACAACACATAAATGGTCACGCAGCGGCTTCGAGAGAACGGTAATGATGTTAGCCATATGCCAAGGCCATCTCAATAACTTCACACGATCCAGTCGAGCATTTACTGTGCCATTTCTGACAGCGTCTGAGGAAACATTTTCCACTACCACAGAGGTGGAGGCTCAGTGGTGATTTACTCTCAGTGATTATGTTAGTAATGATTAGCGTTGACATTTCCAGAAATGAGCAGATCAAAATGTCATAGCCGCAGCTTTGCAACTAGCACACTGGACCAGACGAGGTATAAAAAACAAAAACTAATCCTCAATATAAAAATAGATATTAATGCATGGTATGCATAGCTTGCATGAAATTAGATTTTCATATGTATAAGTAAAAACGCTTCCCCTCCTGAGTCCAAAGCAAGAGTTGTGCACACTGGTTTGCAGATCCACAGCTTTCTACCAGAAATCTTGTCACATTCTAATTCTCCAGTTTCACAAATATGACTCAGTCTTGCATCAGGTCAAGGCTATTACAGCAGATATTCCACCGGCTTTTTGATTTCCTTCTGTGTAGACCCAGGTGCTCACTTGACCTTCTGCTAATGAGAGCCAGGGGAATGTGACGTCACTAGCAGAAGTTTTCGTCAAGTGGACCTTCAATTTAGTGGACTGGATTTTAACCTTTCAAATGAACCGTCTGCAAAAACAAATCTCATAAAACAGGGCGGGGACTCAGGCAGGTTTTATTTTTACCTGCTGGTTAATAAAAGCGAAAGAAGACAGCGTCATCGGTCTTGCTTGTCGTCTCTGAGCTCCGTGTAGTAAGACGAGAGTGTCTAATCCTGCGCACAGACAGGCGAGGAAGCATAGGGGAGGTGGGGGGTGAAGAAGACCAAAAAATGCTGCTGCTGAAAGGAACCATACAATAGTGACAGTGTGGTGGAAGGGAAAGACGAGGTGGGCTGATTTTTACTCCACTTCAAGTCCAGTTTTCAGCTATTTTTCTCCACTCGGGTAAATCAAGAGTCAGAGACCATGAAGGCTGCTGGCGAGATAACTTTACCTGCAGCTTAAATATTTGATATTGCTGAATGAGATGAAACCTTCTCCTCGAATGCACAAGGTAAGTTCAGCCTTGTTTTTTGTTTCCACGGTCGTTACTCCAAGGTCTTCTGCGCGTTTTTCGTTTTTTTCTTTTGTTTTTTTGTTTGGTTCGTCGAAATCTGCAAGAAAGGTGAAACATTACCAGATAAAAACACAAACAATCCGATGTTCCTCTTTCACACTCTTCTACATATAGATATTATCTTCAGGAAATATATCATAAATGTGTGCTATTCTTATTATACCAGTTGTTTTTTGCAAAACAAACAAGGGCTGCTTCGCTTTGTTTTCTTGTCTTGATGTTTCAGTACCTCGGACAGCGTCGCTATAGTGGTAATACTACAGATTCTCCACTGAAGGGCAGCAGGAGTCTCTCATATCCCTGCATTTGTTCCTAATTGCCATTTAATGAGGAATAGCCAGAAGAAAATAGAATGTTTTCATATTTGCATCCATGATTTGTGCATGTTTTATAGAATTACAGTATTGCCTCAGTTTCATTTGCCTAGTAGTATTTTTTTTATTCTATTTTTAACAGAGGTTTTGATATGATGCTCAGCGGTGATCATCAGGAGTCTGATCTCCCCTGGGGACACACGGACACCCTTCTGGACTCCCTCGGTGCGCAGTGTGGGTCCATGCCGGTCGGAACCCACGATGGAGAGGCCAAAGTGCGTTCCAAGGAGGAGAAGAGGCGCAAGAGGCGCGCCACAGCCAAATATCGATCTGCGCATGCCACCAGGGAACGGGTCCGTGTAGTAGCCTTCAATGTGGCCTTTGCAGAACTAAGGAAACTGCTCCCAACGCTCCCGCCAGACAAAAAGTTGTCCAAGATTGAAATCTTGCGACTCGCGATTTGTTACATCTCATATCTCGACCACGTGCTGGACATTTAGGACAAGTGTGGCAGTGCGTATCCAGCCACTAAAGAACAAGGGATATGGGGAATCCCTGGTCTGTATCCTAATGGAATACCACGCTGACATTATTATTGCATGATGATGTTTCATTATGAGGATGAGCTGCAGCACTGGAGACTTAACATCCGTAGAAGCACCCGAAGAATGGAAAATATTTTGGGACCTTCTCTATATCACATATTGCATTTTGTTTATTAATCACTAACTTATGGAAACATTATCATGCTTGGGGTTGGTTCTTATTCCACCAAGTATTAAAGAAACTTATATAATATAATATGTAACTGTAAAACACTCGTGTGCTCTGTGTTCCTTCTTCTAATGGCAGCTGGAATTTCATTTCAAATCAAATTTGCTTAAAATAAACAGTAAAAAGGCTCATCTTGTTTTTTCAAATTCATCTTGTAATATTTTTGAATCCGGAAGAGTTCAGAAACAATAAAGTTTCACCAAAATGCTGAGAAATAAATGTGAGTTTATATTTTCTTTTAGAGGGTTGTTTGTTGTGTTTGTAAAGAAGTTGACACCTCTGTCTTAGTCATGGGTAAACGAACACACAGGTCTAATTTCTGGGCATTCAAAAACAGATTTCCGAACATTTCAAGGTTCTGACATTCTGCCCAAATACCGGATGACATCAGGATGTAGCTTTCAGCTCACTCGCCCCTGTGGTTTTCCTCTCCATTAGTCTGAGGCTGCCTGCGCTCCTCCTGTCGTCCATTTATGCGAATCTGTAATGTGGCCCATGGGGCTCGAGGTATTGTTCATGTCCACTCCAGCAGCAAGAGCGAGAGTCCTTTGTGCATGCAGCACATTACACGCACTGGTCTACACACTGAACACAATGCTTCTGAGAATACAGGGAACACGGGGCTCAGCTTAATGTCAGATTTCGGGGCAAATAGGGCAAAGAAGCATAAAGCTTGTGTGTGTTTAGAGATGTTGGTTAAATGGTGAAACAAGGGCTTATTGATCACACACATAATTTTGATACAATATATTTAATGTAATTATAAGTTTAATGCAATTCCTCCTGCACATGTATTCGAATTTGAGTTTGTAAATTTCAGAATTCATTCCAGTTTATTTTTCCTTGAAAGGAGCAACGTCGCCCTCTGCTGGCGTTGTAGAGAACTACATATACGGTAAGCGGTTTCTTCGTGGTGTGATGTCAGTTTTTAAAATATGGTTATCGAGCAGGCCCAAATAAATCTTTTGTTATCATATTATATAGATCATATTTGACATCATAGTTGTCATACGGGTTTTGAGTATCTTGAGCTATTGAGAAATGTTTGTTTAATAAGATATCTCAAGAGGTTCTGCAGCATCTGGAGATTCCTCAATAGCATATGCTTTAATTACCGTGTAATCCATGCAGAAAAAGTCTCGCCATAAGGGAAATTCAGCCTGTCGAAGATGTGATGCATTTAAAAACCCAAGAGAGAAACAACTAAATGTATCTCCTGTCAACTGCTGTGTTCAAGGTCAGGAGTTAAGTAAAAACTAGCACCATTGCGTTGTATTTTATTGATTACTGCTATTGTTGTGCAGGGGATCAAGAAAATCTCACTTTTTTTCAGATTGCAAAGTTGGTTCTTTTAATAACAGTGAAAAGTGCCACGCTCCCTTCTACATTTTGTCTCTGTCACTTACCTGTGATAGAATTTCCTCTGGCAATTTATCCACTACAGAGCCCACAGACAGTTTCTGTCTGCAGAGATCAGAGGTGAGGCGCCAGGGCCCTGGAAGTGTCAGCTATGACACCAGAACCTCGAACTATTATAGAAATTGCATCCCTGGTATGACACTAATGAGATGGCACAATCAGGTGCAGGTGTTAAGCCCCTATTAACCCTACCTTTAAGCCTTCTTTCTTCTATAATTAATATCATGTGTTAAGCTGATGTGTTGCAAAAGCAAGTCCATACAAGTTAATTAAAGATAAGGACAAAGTATGAGATGAATTAACAAAGGTCTCACCATGATCATAGTTAAACAGATCCAACCCTTATCTTCAGAGTAATGGCCATCCTTACGGGTTGCTCATCATAGGTAAAATAACTGAAATGGTTCTGGGTGGATATTTCTGGATATTTCTTTAATTCTGTTATGCTATTAAAGACACCCTTAACAGACAGAAAATGTAGTCCTATTCTTAGCAATCTGTCAGTTTCCCCATCAAAATCTTCAGTCTTCAATTTACAACGTTTTCACAGAGACGTGTAGTATAAAAAAGTGCATACACTATACTATATACTGTGTTCAGTTGCACAGCGAAACATGACTGGCTTCAAACGCATCTATCAATAATGACAAAATAATAATAATTGCTATTTTAGTCGACAGGTTAAATATAGGATCGTTTGGGCGGGGCTTAATCTTTTCATTTTCTAATTAGAGAAGTTCCACGCGAGCGTCTTCGTGAAAAAATGTCAAGTTAAGTAGCAAATCACATTTAGACATCAGTTACACTCACTGACGGCCCTGACCCTTCTACAGCAGTCGTAAAGGACGACCTCTTGCGGGCCAGAGCGGAAAATACTCATTGTAACGCGCTGTAAAAGCGTGCTGTACACCCATGCTGCCTCCCTTTCTGGTCCTGCGAACCACAATGGCCAGGATCCTGTGAGCTGCCTCTCCGTGCAGACGCGCCTCACAGCAGCAGGAACAGCTGCAGCTCCTCGGCGGCAGATTCGCTGACACCGACACGCAGGTGAAGGAATATGAAACGCTTCTGAGATAAAGGTAGGTAAACGAATCCACGGCTGTGATGTTCATCACACCGGGTATTGGCTGCCCTTGCCAAAAAAAATCCTGAGATACACCAGCACGCAGGAATCACTGATGAAGTTCAATGCTGCCGTCGTGGGAAAATGGTTTCCTTTTCGCCAGACAGATGCAGCCACAAAACCCGAATTTAGCTGGAGCTCATGACTTTCCTTTTTCTATTACATTAGTATCGCTTTTTATGTAAGCATATTATTTGAGCCGATCATCCAGATTGCATGGTTTATTTGAAGTGATTTAGTCTTGTGTGGTTAATGGGGTTCAGGGCGAGACTGAAAGGAGATCTGCTGTAACAGAAGCTGCAGCTGTGTAATAGAGAAGTGGCTCCCCTTGTTCTGTGCGACCTAGTAGCCTTTATATTAAAAGCGGGGTTGGAGATGTCTCCATCAGCAGCAGCAGCTGTCTGGAGAGCACACAGCTGGATGAGGTGTTAACTGTGACTGGAGCAGCTTCACGTGTCTTCTCTCTCTGTCGGTCAGAGTCATGATGCTGCAGTGAAGCCGTGTAGCACCTACAGTTATTTATTATTGAGCAGTGTTGATGGGTCCTGTGCAGAGAGCTTGAGGACACTGCCAGCCTGGGAACCCTCCCTGAATAGATGAGTCAACCCATGGAAGCTATCAGTTCTTCCCATGCATGATCAAAAGTGATGTTGGCAAGGCTTTGGCCTTTGTTCTCCTTTAAATGTGCCGACAGGGCAGTGTGTCAGAAGTGCAACGAGAACTGGAGCTACCTTTAGGCTAAAGAGAGGTAATGGAGGAGCATGGGGTAGTGCGCAATATATTACAGTATAGTTTACAGTTGTGCATTTGGAGACATAAAGGCCCTGCACTTAAAGTCAGAATGTACTGAGGTATCTCTTCAACAGCCCTCTCAGCCCGCACTACCCTCCTCTTCCTCCCTCTCTTCTTCTACTGTACTTCTGTTTAATTCCACATGAGCGGATCAGAGGGGACTAAAGTTTGCATTCCAGAGAACTGTGTCAGGTCTTAACTTTCTCCTTTTACAATGGGCAGCAGGGTGGGAGTAGCTATATCCAGTCACTGAAAGGTCACAGGTTTGCTTCTGCAAATACTTGTGGAAAAATACACAGGAACACACTCCTGATCACGTCAGATATCCTGGCAGTGAGGGGCACAAAATAAGAAGAAAAAAAAGGGGGTGTTTCTAAGGGAGTGTCATGACTTGCATATTTGACTCAGTTTTATGTGATTTTAGCCCAGTGGTAATGTAATATGTTAATGAGCAGCAGTTCCTCTGGGTTATCTGTAGTCCACGAACGGATTTAAGATATTAACCACTATATATTACACGGGCTCACACTCTGTCACCCTTTGTTTGATTTCAGAGAGGTTTCACACAGCCTAGTGGACTGTGTTATTCCTGTGCATGTGTGGACTTGTTGTTTCTGCTGCCATTTTAAAAGAATGCATTTTAAAACAGTAATATAATATACACCTTGGTTGTTTCAGGTCCTAAAATGTGGCTTTTGGCTTGTTTTTATATGACAGTAAATGAAATGTTTTTGGCATTTGCTCTCAATTCCGGCAAACCAGTGATCTGATATAACAGTGAATCAATAATGAAATGGGTTTAGCTTATACTAAGCTAAGATGAGGCTCTAATATACCTACTGTGTGTTAGGTATTGATCCATAAGTGAGCCAACATTGATATCGACCCATATGTCTTCATACAAGTAAATTAGATGACATTTACCCATGCCGGTGGCCAATATTTATCTGTAGTGTCACATTAATTTCGCAAAGATCTCGTGATGAATATCTGAAACACCTTAAAACATATGATTACCTTCCAAAAAACATATTTACATTGGCATTTAAATGTGCTTAAACTGCAGTTTTGAACATCTGTATTGATATCCATCCAGAAATCTACTATCCACTGTATATTTGAACAGTAGATGGGAGTTTTGTAGTTTGTTTGCCTTGAAGCTGCAAAACAGCTGATACAAGAAATTCATCAGATAACCAGCTGCTGTATCTGGAAGATTATGGCATGATGCTACCGGGGCAGGGTGCACATCAAGGAAGGAAGGCATGAAAGCTAATAGGTGTGAGGGAGGGCACAGATGCCATGGTAACCAGGCCTCAGCATGTGCCCTGGTTGAGCTATGAGACTCATCTGTGCCATTTCATTTGCCAGCACTGCATTGGATACCTTAATGGAATCTCAATGCCACACCCCTCCTTCTCAGCTCAGTTTAGAGGGCAAATTACTATACAGTCAAAATCTCACGTTATACTTATAAGCTGAATCAGCAGTGGAAAAAATGCTACAGTGCATTTTACTTATCATACGTTGCAGCTTTTCCTCAACGAGCCCCATGCTTATTTGTTGCAAGACTAAAGTGTGCTTATGCCTTGTCTTTATAATAGGAGTAAAAAATTACTCAATAAGAGCATAAGAGCGGGTGTGCGTGCACCCCTGAGCCTGACCATTTGTAATTACAGTAGCTCCCACTGTGCATCAGCCTCGTTCCACTAAACAAACACCCTAACGAATGTTTGCTTTACATTAGTGTCAGTTTCTGCCTTGGTGAATCTCTTCTCGGTGCAGCCAACCAGAACGGTCTGCAGTGATGCAACTGTGCTTCACTGCAGAGTCAATTTTCCGCACAGGCTCCCTCTCGGAGGAGTACTGCATTTTTGGGACAGTCTCGGAGGAAGCTAAGACAGGCGCACGTCTCTAATGCGCGTTGTTATCCCCGCATGTTTCATTCATAGTTATCGTTCGCTTGTAACTGATAGTTTTTCTTACCCCGTGGCTGCGATTTTCCACATGGCCTGGTTCACTGTGCCTCTTCATGCTCGTCCTGTGGATGAGTGGCTTCTCAGTGGGATCCCTGTGCCCCACATACCACTGCCACGCGCCCAGAGATCAGCACTCAGGGGGTTAATGGCTTTTATTCAAATCACCAGGCGGGATTCGTTTAACCACGCGAGTGACGGGTGTGATGGAAGGCTATTGTTTCCTCTTTATGCCATCACACTGTGCCTCACCCCAACGTCACTCTCACATACGCACTTAAGTGCATCCACAAATTTAGGCCCAGCAGGGCAGATTGATTACTGCTGTTAGATGGAGCCTCCTGCCTCCAGTGTTGCCAAGGTAACACCGGACGCCCCGGATGTGGGTTGAAGATGAGACATATGACAATCCTGTTAAAAGTCAGGCTTGTGTTTAAAATTTGATACTGCACCACTGACTTTGATTCTGTGAGTAGCATGTTACAGTGTGTTCAAGTGCATTATTTATTGACGTTCTCTGTAAGTGCTGCTCTGCCTTGTTCAACATTATGTTCCCTCAGTGTTCATCAGCCTCCACTGATGCGGTCACGCTCTGAGAAATTGCACTTTTTTGTCACTGGGGCATCATTTCCATCAGGTTGGTTCATCCCAACTTAAACTGACACTTCATCCCAAAATTGAATTTACATAATAATCCTCTGGGCTGTGGTGTCATCAAGATTTATGGGAGCTGTGGATAAATGTCCACTTGTTCTTGAACGAATTGAAACTGAGTAGCACTTGTTAAGCACTATCTCTTTCCAACTGCTCAAAATAATCCTAAAACTTTGCCACGAGTAGTTTTATGTCAGACAGACATTTCCACGGTTGATGTCTAAAGTAATAAAAGATACTACAGTCTTGCACTAGTTTCAACTGCTTCCTTATTCACAGGGGGTTAGCACAGCAGGTAGCTCCACATGTTTGCTTTGGCAGAGTTTTTGCACTGGATGCACTTCCCCACGCAGCCCCAAAAGGGTTCTCCCAGAATCAAACTAGGGATTTTTTTTTATGTATTTAGGCAAACATGTAACCCACTACACTATGGAGCCAGTCTACAGCCCAAAGAACAACAATATAGATTGTATTTATCTGACAAAAGTAATTCTTTAGGTTGTAATATTAATCTTACAGACTTTATATGTACTGTATAACTTTTTTAATGGAATAGGCAGCTGAGGGAAATAAAAACCATTTAAACCCTCTTAATGGAAATCTGCTGCACAGCAGTGTCTTCTCTTAACCCTTCAGAATACGATCTCTGGAGCATTCACATCCTAATATGCTGAATGGGCTGTTTTGGTGTTAGTATCCATCATTTGCTGTAGAGATAACAAATGGCCTGTAAGTGATGGAAAGAATAGTCTCAGCTGGTAAATTGAGATGGTGATGGGGAAGTTGACTGGCAGGTGGTTGTCAGGACAACAGCTGGGAGACAGACAGGGTTGAGATTGAGGTCTAAATGAATGCTTGGTGAGAGATCGTCATGCATACATCACACATTTGTTTCACAGGAAGTGAGTCTGGCAGATTCAGCTCCTGTTAATAATGGCAGGATGGAGAGAGTTCTCTTTTCCAAATCACTGGCTATCAAATAAAATGCAGTTATTATGAGATCAATTATAGTACAGATTAGAACTAAATGATCTACCTGAATGTGCTCTTTTTATGTGAATATGCAGGTTTTATCTATATTGTACGTCTAAACTGTACGTTGACAAAGGGAATGTTTTATTTTAAAATACTTGGGTTTTGGGGGTTTTTAGCCTCTTCTATTACTGAAGGTTTTTTTTTTTAAGAATGTAACTGAAAGAAAACCTAATCCTAATGAGTGTTAAGAGCTCATACAAGTGGGCATTTTTAACATTAACATGGGACATTAATTATTTTCTGTTTTGTTACCTGCACCTCTTAATGTATGTCTGTGCCATTCCATATTTTTTTATACAACCTTAATGTTTTTGTTTCTCCTGAGATGCATAATTGTGTTTTTTGGGGGGTGGTTTACAAGCGAGACCAAGCCAAAAAGGCAGTATTTAGGCACAAGCTATAAAAACACGCATCCACACAGAAATAAAATGAGACTTGTAAAAAGACAGAAAGACTGTGTAAAAGCGTCTTCATGAAACATGTTTTATATGTGGCATTCGAATGGCTGGATTTAAGTCAGAGTTTCCAAATAAAGTGCGTCTTGTAAATAATTCCAAGCAGAGGGTACAGAATGCACTTTTTCCAAGTTCAGGGCAAACTTATAACGACTGCAGAGGAAAGGTTTTTGGTTTTTGGTTTGGGGTTTTGGTTTTTGTTTTTTGCATGTTTGCTTGTCTTTGAGACACATTAGAGAGATAGGAAAATATTGGGGGAGATAGTAGGGCGTGGCATGCTGTAAAAATTGAACCGGGACCGCTGCTGTTAAGGGGATGTTGTAACACATGTAGTGTGTGTGCTGAATATCAAGTTAGATTGGAATAAATATCCCAGGTTAATACATTAATCATAGATAATCTGAAGTATATACCCACAACACAGCAGAGCACAATGGCTAATATATTAATCTGTCTGCTTTGTAAATGTGTTGAATGATGAGAATCAGAGATGCAGAAGCTTTTCTTGCACATCTAATGCTCTGTTTGTTTGATGTCTTGGTGCATCCTTCATACTGTGCTATTTATCTGTCCCTCAGGTCAATGTGGTCACTGAAGCCGCAATCAAAGATAGTTGTCATTCGTCGTGGATTTTTGAAGCCTGTCTCTATAGCAACCCATTTGTCCTCCTGAGCGCTGCCGCCAAGTTACCCTCTCTGCCACACGGCAAGTCTCTCCTCATCCCCCTGTCCAATCACCGTCTCTGAACTGCGTCGGTATGGACACGGAGTCGACCCACTCTGGCTACTCCTATCACTCCAGTCGCTCCGGGAGATCAAACCGGCATGGGTATGTTTCCTGTCTGTCGTCAGCCTTTCCATCTGACTGTCTACTTCTCTGCTGTATCTGTCTAACCGGCACTCCCATGACAGGAATTTGTTTCTTCCAGATCACATGCTGTATCCCACTCCCTGGCTACTGGAATGCCTTCAGTGAACATTTTGTAGCTTTGTTTGTCCTCCGTTTGAGTGGGCCACATGTTGGTTGTGAAATAATGAGGCGAGAAACTGCAGAGAGAGAACAAGCGAGAGATTGAGACAGACAGAGCTTGTGGATTAGGGTCGTCACAGCTGAGCGGTTCTAACCTATTTCAGTGATTGAGTCTGTGTGCTCTGCAAACGAGAGAATCATTTGTTTATCTCCCCCCTCATTCCTGATGCCTATAATTGTCTGCTGGAGTATTAATGCACTTCACTGTTTACGAGCTTTCATTAATGAGAAACCGTCAAATTATTTTCTTGATTTTTGATTAATAAAGAATTAACAAGTTATTTTATAAAATGTCAGGAGCTGATAAAAAACGCTGCTCACAAGGTCCAGAAGCCAAGGATTGTCCAATAAGGAGTCCAAACCTCACAAATATTAAGAACAATTAAGTAAGAAGTACATTTTCACATTTTAGAAACTGGAATTTTTGTCTTCTTGGACTCACCTTAAACAAAAAATCATCAAGAATAAACTATAAAACATTTTGGCTCATTATTTTCATTGATATAAATTAATGAGCCTATTGTCTCAGCTCTTATTTTGTGTGTATATTGATGATATGGTACTTATCCCAAGCTGAATCATTTTAATGAATGGAAAATAGGGACCTGAAATGGTTGTTTAATTTACATTTCTGTTAAAGAAATTATATAGACATGTATAGTGATCATTATTTTAATTTTAATTAGTATTCATTTACATTTTAATTAGTAAAGAATAATCATTGAATAACGATATGTTAGGCTGCAGTTTCAGTACATTTTTCCTGTTGTATTATCCCAGTGGTCACCATGTGTGCTTGTTCTCACTTTCCAGAGATCGAAGCCGTGAGCGACACAAAGCCAGCAGCAGTAAAGACAGCAGCCGCTCGGAGAGATCTGTGGTCATCAATCCCCCCGACACCCCTTCCCAAGACTCCCCAGTTCATAACGGAGAACCGCTGCCTGGAGAGCCCACACCTGCAGCAGAACAAGGAGATGAGGCGCAGGTATTGGAGTAACTCTAAACTGAAAACTGACAGCAACAGTGAAACTGTGAAAGATGCACATTGTTTTGTAGGAAAGCACACTAAAACTGCAGCTAGTATCAGTTTCCTTCAGAAAAAGCAAGACCCAGTAATCCATGCATGAACTTTGCGTCCCAACCTTATAAACTCGCCCTCGCACAGCTGGCTGACCGACACATGATAGGCTAACAATGGCGACAAGGGATCAGATAGGTCAGAGGATTAGCATCTCTCTTATAGGCCTGGGTGGATTTGTACAGACAGTGTTTCGTTGCTGTGTCTGTGTGTGTGAGTGTGTGTGAGTGCCTACATACTGACTGTAATGCCTAATGGCTTTGAAATCAAGGCATAGTATAGCATCAAAAAGCTGATTGTGCTGCTACAAGCAAAATAGGTTTGTGTAGACACAAAATGATGCGATATGAGGCTTAAAATGCAGGGCAGATATTTAACTAAGGCTTCAAGGATTAAAGATTCATTAGAGTATAATACTGTGTGGATATTTAGGAGTTATTTCTTTCTTGCAGAGATTATTGGCTATTTTGGGAACATCTACTAGCCATTTTGTAGTGCTGTTCTAATTCTGAACTGTCCTCCACCACACAGAGTGCTTTAAAATCATCACAATGTACACTCGATCCATGCACTGAGACCATCATGCATTGCGGTCCCTCTGCTGCTACAACAGGAGTATTCAAACGATGAGTTAATGCGATTTTTTTCCATGCTGACAGTGCCTGGTGAGCGTAATACGCCTCAGGCATCTAAACCTTATGCGTCCTCCTGTCTCTGAGCAGGATTTCAAAAAAATGACTATTAAAACATCTTCTGGAACTGCGTTTCAGACTGTATATTAGCAATATGGATATGGGAAATATTGCCCCAAAGCTATAACCAGATGTGGCTAATGCTGCTTTTAAAAGAATATATTAGTTTAATCCCTACATTGTGTTATTTACAATTAATATCACAAAATTTTAGGTTTCCCCATCCTGGCATTTTTTTAAGTGGCAGAAAAAAGCTTCCATATAGATGTGCATGGATTATAGATTTGTGTGTTTTATGTTAAAGTGAGTGAGAGATCTCAGTTACAGCTTCTACATATCTGTAAACAGCAATGTTATGTGGTACTGATTGGGATAATTAGGAATATCCCTAAACAGCATAAACAGCATTATATCCAACTGGTTTCTGAAATATATCAACAGCTTTCACCAAACAAGCACAATCTGAACAAGACATAAATGAGGAGATTGATACCTGCCTCCTGTCTGCATGTAGATAGCAATTGGTTGGCCTGGCTTAGCAGAAAACAAGAGTGCTTTTATTAGCCAAGTGATAGCCTGGAGTGTGACCTCCTGTGGTCTTATCATCACTGTGAGATTGCAACTCCTTGTTTTACATTTAAGCTTTTCTAGAAGCTTCACATAGGAGAAAAATATATATAAATATATATAAATATGTCTTTATGCTAAGCTAACTGCCACCTGAATAAAATTATTTTCCAAAATATTAGGGTTCCTTTAAATGCAGAGAATCGCACAAACTGTACTGAAAGATAAATAGAGCTTAAAGTAGAAGCAGAAACGAAGAAAATGAGAGAGATAAAGAAAGCACCTTCTTCCCTGAAGACGAGTTAAAGATATTGCTAGCCTGGGGCTGCCTTTACAGTGTCTTTGACCCACTTGAAATACATAGTAACACAAAATGAGTGCATTTTTCATTGGCTTATTGTGCAACTTGCATGCTTAAAATAGCTGCAGAAAAGCATTGTATCAGTAGTGCAAGCTACCTTGACAAAATATACTTTCCTAATATTAGCAACATTTAATGTGACTGGAAAATAAACGTGCGTTCAACCTGACTTTCTGACCATGTTGGAGAAGTCTGACCTATTTTGCTATCTCTGCTCAGCATCCCCTTTTGGCTGGAAAGGCACATTCCACACTGGCATGTGATTGTCAGCTCCTAGCCTGCATCCATTGTTAGCAGTGTAAGGTAATCTGCCATTGTACTGCAGCACCCCTGCAGACGATTGTGTCCGCACACCATACACCAGTGGCAGCACCAGCATTACCGCAAACACCGTCAACCACGGTGCACTCCAACCCATGCTTTTTAGAGCAGCTTTGTCAGATGGTGGAGCTGCATATTAACACTAACTAGTCTCCAGTGCAGAGGAAACATTCTCACAGACTGGGATTAGCATTAGCATCCGGCCAAACGCCACTTGGAGGAAAGCTGATATGAATAATCCTCCATGTTTACACGCATGCCTGTGACATAAGGATACGGTCTTGGAGCACAGTTTGTGTGTGTGTGTGTGTGTGTGTGTGTGTGTGTGTGTGTGTGTGTGTGTGTGTGT